TTTTTTTTTTTTTTTTGAGACAGGGCCCAGCTCTGTTTCCCAGGCTGGAGTGCATTGCAGTGGCACAGTCACAGCTCTCTGAAGCCTCAACTTCTTGGACTGAAGGGATCCTTCCCGCCTCAGCCTCTTGAGTAGCTAGAATTACAGGCATGAGCCACTGTGTCTGGCCTCCCACTATTTCTTTAAAGACAAGTGAGCTAATTTTAGAAATACCTGCTCTTAAAAACTTAACAATAGATTCCTCATATCATTCCATGACCACACTTACTACTGATAATTTTTCTTGGTAGATATTTTCCTTCTGCCACTAAAATGATAAGCTCCACAGTGCTCTCTAATGCTCTGTTCTCCGTTGTATCCTTTTATGTAGACCAGTGGTTAGAGTAACTGGGTAATCAATGTGTATTTGTTCAGTGAATGGAAACCATTTAATGAGCTGAGAATTTCATTTCTCACTGATCTGAAACAACCACAATCATGACTCTAATGGTTGGACACATTACAATAGAAGAATCACATGTGCAAGTGGTATTGCAATAAAGAAATTTTACTAGAGGTCAGTGTACTAGAGGGGACCTGGTGGCTAGTTTAGATTTTAGTCAAATGAAATCTTTCTAGAGGTAACGTTTAAGCTGAGTACTGAATGATTATCAGAAGACAAAGGGAGAAAGGTATTTCCAACAGAGGAAACATTTAGTGCCAAGGCCACAAGACAGGAATTTAGTATGTTTGCCCTTTAAGGCTGACTGGATCTCTTTGGTTTTAGTTAGTGTGTACAAGTCACCGTGTTGTTCTTTTGGTGATTCCTTGAGAGTGATTGCGAATTCAGTGTGAGTGGTCTGAGGTGCGTTGTCTGAGGTAGCAGCCACGGGTTTATTTCACATGGCTGGTGGCTACGGTATTGGACAGCACAAATACAGAACATCTCCAGTATTACAGCTCTCTTTTACAGTGCTGTTCTGGAAAGTCACTGGAATATCAACTCCTTGAGATTGTTTTCGCTGCTCTACCCCTGGAGTTTGACACATAAATGCCGAGTAAATATCTGGTAAATGATCAAATGAATAAATGGATAGATGGAGGCAGTATATCTGTTCCTAGATAAGGAAAAAGAAAATGTGCATAAGTTTTGAGATGAGAAAGGGTTTGATGTGTTTAAGAACAAAAAGAAGACTGGTTAGAACAGAGAGGAATGACAGTTTGAAATCAACGTAGAGAAACTAGTGATGTTAAACCTTCTGCATTTTGTTTTAAGTGCATTGGGAAGTGATGGAAGGGTTTGTAGCATAGCAGTAATGTGGTCTGATCTGGTCTGGTCTGAATGTCTTTTTAGCAGATGATTTCATTTTACTAGCTCTCTTAAAAGTTTAATTAAAGTGATAGCGATGACAGTTTATTCAACTAGTTATTTGAGAAAGTAACTGCCTGTGGGGAATCCAGATTATTTGTTTACTTCATTTTCGGTGTTAGTGCTAGCCCCCTTGTTTTATATTTGTTTTAACAATTCTATGCTTAAAAGCAGGAACTTATAGGCAAGAACTTCTTTTTGTTCTTTTTTCCAGTGAAGGTGGTGTTTTTAAGGCTCATCTTACTTTCCCAAAAGATTATCCCCTCCGACCTCCTAAAATGAAATTCATTACAGAAATCTGGCACCCAAATGGTAAGTTTATCTAGTTTTACTTTTACATTTGTAAATGTGATGACCTGTCATTGAAGTGTTGAAGGTCAATAAGAAAGATGTGTTTCTCAGTGAAATTGCTTTGGCATGTTTGTACCGTGTTCATTGTGCACATGGCTGTGTACTGAAACCTTTAAAAAGAGGAGAGGCCAGGCACAGTGGCTCATGCCTGTAATCCCAGCACTTTAGAAGGCCAGGCAGGGAGATCACTTGAGATGAAGAGCTGGAGACCAGCCTGGCAAACATGGTGAAACCCCGTCTCTACTCAAAATACAAAAATTAGTCACGCGTGGTGGCACATACCTGTAATCCCAGCTACGTGGGAGGCTGAGGCATGAGAATCGCTTGAACCCGGGAGGCGCAGGTTGCAGTGAGCTGAGATTACACCACTGCACTCCAGCCTGGGCAGCAGTGTGAGACTGTGTCTCAAAAAAGAGAGGAAGAGAAACAGAGATCATGGGGAAAAAGTTATTTTTTAATTTATTTACTTAGTTTTCAGTTTGGTTTGAGACTCATATTTTAAACCAGAGGCACAGTTACGGAGCGATAACATCAATAGAGCTCCTATAATTAAGCGAATAATTATCAAGGTGTTAGGTGATTCACTGGCTATTACAAAGAACACAGAAATTATGAAACCTGGTTTTGTAATTTATAGTTTTTCCTATTATTTTTATACCATGGACAACTCTTCTATGTATATTCTTAGGTGTAAGATTACTGACAGTGTCATATGAAACAACATACTGTATTTTTTAAGCCTGGAAAGCATCTAGTATGGCTGTGCATGTAGCGGTGACATTGACTTTTTTTGCTTAAAGAAGAGCTACCACTTCAAATCCACATTGCGGCCGTTCTCCTGCCTAGCCAGCTGCCGCTGGACTCTCTCCCCTGTATATAAGCCCCCAGTAACTACGTCTTATTTAAAAAACAACAAAAAAAATTCTCTATTTTTATAAAGTAAAATAAAATCCCCAAAGGTTAGGCTAGATAAGCTATATTTGTAAAACAGTCTTTGAACTTTTGGCTTTGTTTTGTATGATAGAACTTGCAGAGCTTTCTTTTCTAATTATTTTGACTATGTAATCAGAGTTGTCTCTTTAGGCTATTACACTAATTTGCATTTTGCTTCTCATCATCAAGACTTCTGGGTGCAGGGAATAGAAACACGTAGATAGTGGTTTAAGCTGGAATCAGTGAGACAGGAGTGAATGATTGAATGAAGTTAAACAAGGATTTATCAGAAGGATATGGAATGTGTAATAGAAGCCAAGGCTTGAAAAACACATGGGCGTTATGAGAGACTGGAACTGGCAAATGGAAAAGTACTGGGAGCCAAGGGACTTAGCATATTTTATTGCATCTAAGGCAGCAGTGATCATAAAAGATAGTTATTTTTCCTACCAGTAAGAAGGGGAAAATATCTCTAACAGTTTGTGGCAGAATGCATTAACCGTATTCCTGCATGATGCGGGCATGCATGAATGGGTGACACTTGCCTCCTGTGCTTTGACTTTTATCTCTTCCTAGGCTTTCGGCAGTTTCTTCTTCTACCTTCACTTGCATTACTCGATTATAATAGGCAATCGTTTTGCACCTGTTTCGAAGAAGCTATAACAGATTCTGAATGTTGGCTTCACCACAGATTAGCTGTGTAACTCTAGGCAAACCCTCTTGGAGCCTTAAGCTAGCTTGCCTGCCTGCCTCCCTCCCTCCTTCCGTCTCTCCTTCCCCCACTCTGCCCCTCCTTTTCTCCTTCCTTCCCTCTCTGGCTCCTTCCTTCCCTCCCTTCCCTTTCTCCCATCCCTTCCCGTCCTTTTTTTCTAAGACAGGGTCTCACTTTGCCACCCAGGCTGCAGTACAACGGCATGATCACAGCTCACTGCAGCCTTGACCCCCTGGGCTCAAGTGATCCTCCCAAGTAGCTGGGATGACAAGGACACATCATCACGCCCAACTAATTTTTGTATTTTTTTTGTAAAGATGGGGTTTCACCATGTTGTTGGCCAGGCAGGTCCTGAACTCCTGGGCACAAGTGATCTGCCCACTTTGTCCTCCCAAAGTACTGAGATTACAGGCATGAGCTACCATGCCAGGCCTATGTTTTCTATCTGTGAAAATTAGGTGAAAACATACATGTAAGCAAATACATGGGAGACTTCCCTTCTGGTAAGAAGATAGCAATCACCTAGGTAGTTTAAGAGGACAACTGATAAAATGGTGTTATGTTTTGTTTTAAGATTGAAGAGACTTTTTATTTTTTTCTTTTCTTTTTTTTTTTGTTTCCTTTTTTTTTGAGACGGAGTCTTACTCTGTCGCCCAGGCTGGAGTGCAGTGG